CACGACTCACCTTTGCCACACTGCTGGAAATACCGTATGCGAAAACCTATAAAAAAGTGCTTTTGGATTCAAAAAAACTATGTCGGCAAAAAATGCCGCCTGCTCTATGAGGAAATGCCCACTGTGCAATATCCAGAGCTTTAGAGGTTATATGGTGTAACCACACCTATTCTAAGGTTATAAGGTGTGAAAACTTGGATTTTTAAGTAACATTTCATGTTCTCTCGAATTAGGCATGCGTCGGTTATTTTATCGGGGTTCTCGGCGGTAGTGATTTTTACCGTCGAGAATCCCGATAAAATAACCAGTGCACGCCTATCTCGAATCAACACAGTTAAAATAAAATATAATTTTAGATCTTTTCGGTCTTTTCACCCGTGGTTGATACACTGGCGGACTGTGTCTTAGAAGTAGAAGCGACCTGAATACGAAATTTGAAAATATGTTTTTTTGCCTATATTTTATACCACTGACAGAACAGTAAAAAGAAATATCTTGTGCATAATATAAAGACAATATCCAATACATCAGACCACCAATACCCAGTGCTTACAATACCCAAGAGTCACGGTTCATGTATACTTGCATCTAGCGAGCAAGACGCATCGACTTTCCCTACGCCAATCGGCTAAACCTAACAAATCAAGCATACAGGTAGTTATATAGTAAAACCTTTTCTCCGGGTTTCCACCTCTTTAATATTTAACTTTTTGTAAACTCGATCGAGCTTGTCTCCCTATCTTCTTCTCTAGAATGTGTAAATTGTTCCAATATTTTATCAGTAATTGTCCTGTGCGATTGTATTATAATAGCGATGAAGTCACTGATCACATTAGAAGTATAGTATTTTTCGCCAATTTCTCCTTGGTTATACTGTAACATCGATAAGGTTTTTAATAGGGAAGATATTCAGCTTTGTTGCTTCAGAATTGCCATGAGTATGAAAAGAAGTGTACACAGCGGCTTACTTGATGTTGTTGTACTTGCTACAATAAACGGAAAAAGATTAATAAAATAGCAATCATATTCTAAGGTACGTCAGATTACTTTGCGTCGTCGTCGTAGTCGTTGTCGTCGTCGTTGTTGTCGTCGTCGTAGTTGTTGTCATCGTCGTTGTTGTTGTCGTCGTCGTTGTTGTTGTTGTCGTCGTTGTTGTTGTTGTCGTCGTTGTTGTCGTCGTCGTTGTTGTCGTCGTCGTTGTTGTCGTCGTCGTTGTTGCTGACGTCGTAGTTGCTGACGTCGTAGTTGTTGTTGAAGTAATTGTTGTTGTTGTCGAAGCAATTATTGTAGATACTGAAAACATTGATTTAGTAAGCAGTAAGGCGGATAAGACCCTTTCCTGGCACAAAACGTTTTCGGATTTTGCACATTGGAATCATGTCAGGGGATGCTCAGGAACAGTTCCACACATTTAGTTCTGTGAAATCTCTCACGAGAGAAGTCCACCAACTGTCCAATCCCTTTTGAGACGAAACCTAGTGGATCATAGGTTATCGGCTAGTCATATTCGGAATCCGCATAGTCAATAACCTATAATCCACTAGGTTTCGTCTCAAAAGTGATTGGACAGTTGGTGGATCTCCCTCGTCAATCGGTTTTCCAAGGCCAAAGTCAGGGAAAAGAATTGAAATTTGCGTGGGAAAACATGAGACTGCTTCGCATGTAAATTAATCGAGTTTTTCTGACCAGGTGTTGATAGTAAAACGAATGCAAGACACATGGAAATAGCTTTTCGACCATGCTGGGCACGACGGCGATATCAGTTGGTTGAAAACATCAAAAGATTTTGGAAAGGTTTTCTGGAGACCTCCTGAGACCTGTTCCACAACTTTTCGGTCCTTTTTTAGCACCGGCGGATAGAGAGTGAAACGTTACATATTGTATAAAACGCTGGTTTTACGGCAAAGCTCCTGACCGTGTCATCTATGGGGAATACCGTCAAACAACACGATTTTCACCGGTATTTGCTGATCTTCAAAGAAGCTTGAGCTTTGTTACGTTTCTAATTTCAAATTCGGATTCTGCGTAAAAGTCCATATCCGAATCACTATCTATTTTAGTTTTTCTGTGCTTCCTCACCCAGGAGGCATTCTAAAGACCGTTTCTTTTACGAAAAACACGAAGATTACTCCGCACCAAACCTTTTTTGACGCTTCTAATGCCGATATTCGTGATCAGCGGGGTGGATTATATATTACCAGGTGCGTTTGAAAAAATTAAAAATTAAAAGTTTTTCAAAAACATGTAGGGAACCTCAGGCCTTGGAAAACCGACTGAGAGATTTCACGGAACTAAATGTGTGGAACTGTGCTTGAGCATCCCCTGACATGGTTTCAATGCACAAAATCCGAAAATGTTTTGTGCCAGGAAAGGGTCTTATCCACCCTACTGCTTTCACTTAGCCATAACGTTTTGCTGCCTATCAACTATCGAGATAATTTATTTAAGCTTACTTGTTGTTGATGTCATATCTGTTTTTCTCGTTAAAACAAGAGCAAAAATTAATGCCGTAATACCCCCCATTAACAACAACAAGCACACAGCAGCATAAAAACAACGTGCAATGGAACAGTGACGATAACGACCATATCTACATTGACAGTGATGAATCTGAAGAGCAATTTTATATCATAGTAAACAGAACGTACCGTCTCTTTGTATGCGCTTTTCGATCTTTCCTTCCAGTCAATGAATATAATTGTTTACGATCATCTGCTATTGAATTATTTGCCGAAAAAGACATAATTGATGGTAGTATTTCCTAAACAAAGTATACATTAGAAATTTGAGGAACACATTCAGGAGGGAGCAGATAGATATTTGTGTAGTGTAAGTTGTGTTTGACAGCTAAATTAAAAGACGTCAAATTCAGAATTTTTCTTATTTTCATGTCCCGTACCGTTTTCTGTGCTTCCGATGTTAGTTCCGTTGTCTGCAAAAAAGGAAAAAGACTTTTTGACACTAAAGATTCTAGTGGTACCTCTTACTTACCGTCATTATTTCATTATCATTGTCATCAGTATGTTCCTATATAAAAACAGGTGTGCATAACAGCTAAGTAGATACACAAAGGCATATAACTGCAATTACTTTTTCGAATCTTGGCTGAAATGTATAAGTAACTTGAGGTTTCGATATTTCATTCCTGATTTGTTTCTCCTCTTGATTTCTGTCTATGAAATTCTGCAAAAAAACAACTAAGTCTATCGACTGTTCAAATCATACAATTTGTCAGCTGTTTTACATGTGATCAAAATCGGCGCTCGATGAGAAAATCTAGCTTTCTTTCTCTCAGACAATGGAAAACCTCCAAAAAATGTCGAATTAGAGTAAAATGTATCGTTTTTAAACCAGCTTTTACGGACGTGACGGCGTTTCCTGCCCGGTCAGTTGTCACTGCGTCAAATTTCATTTAATTCCATTTTCTTAAAAAGATTTCAGACTGAGCACAAAATATGTTTGGCTAAAGACCAGAAATGATCGTCACCATAGAAGATTTTTTCATACTTAAGAAAAGAATTTGCACGGTTCTGCTTTAAAGAAGAATCAATCAGCATTTAGCTTTGCAAATGAATGGTTGATCTTACCTGCTTAATTGGCAGAGGCCTTGATAATCCAGTAACCAATGGTTTCGCTACGTTACTTTTAGGTTTAAGTTGTTCGAATTCACTATTCTTAACACAAATTAAGAGGAATGTTAGGAACACTGTCGAAAAGCATAGCTCTAATCCATCGAAAAACGTAAGATTGTAGTCAGATATTTTGTTTTTACCCCTCCTATTCATAAGATATTACAACAGGTGTTGGTCTTCTTAGAGCGCTGCTTTTATGGAAACTTAGGGGACTTTCCTTAATCAGAGGGAAAAACGAAATTTAAAGAAATTTTCCGGTCAACATGGCGCATATATACTGTAGTATAATCTTCATGTAGTGGCTATCTCGAAATTTTTGTACCTTTTATTTATTGATGGTAATAAGCACATTCCGACCATTCCACGCGTACCAGCCAAAAAACGTAAGTCCGTTACGTTTTGTGAAAGTCATAGCTCTTTAGCCGAGCAACGTACACAGCTGGGAAAGCCTTATTTTGTAGCTTAAAGATTTTTCTTTCAAATGGAAATTAAGCAAAGCCTAGCTCTACCCTAGGGACCTACTCCTAATTAGTACTAATAAAGCCATTTTGCACGAAAGTCACGCATAGCAAAAACATTATGCGACTTAAATTACTCGACTGTTAGACTTTGCCTAATTACCATTTGAGAGAAAAAGCTTTAAGCTACAAAATGAGACATTCTCCAACCCTGTACGTTGCTCGGCTAAAGAGCTATCTATCTCACAAAACGTCACCGACTTACGTAAAAGTGGACTTTTACGTGGAATGGCCGATCAGCTCATCAGATCTGAATTCACCGCCACTCGTATTCAAAAAATTTTGTGTACTGAATTTCGATGACTCAAGGTTTTGTATACTGATTCTAATACAACTGGATGTGCACGCTGCTCATGGTTGCTTCCACGAATCTACAGTGTTTCAAAGCTTATAAAACTTTTAACCTGAAAACAAGTTTTCACCATAATTTCTGGAGTCTCAAGTCATTTTTGTCAAGTTCAAATATCGTCGACCGACGAGAAGTGGGGACAAGTCCATTTTAATTTTCTTTGCCATTTTTCCCATAAAGTGCTTATTAACGTCAATGAATAAAAGGTACAAAAATTTCCCAATAGTCATTAGATGAAGCTCATACCACACTACATATAATGAGCAAATTATCGCTATATCTCTTATGGTTGCTGTAGAAATTAGAATTTACTTTTAAAAACAGCGCTCTATGAGGAGTGGCATCCATTGGTAATATCTTTTGAACGAGACAGTCTTTGAGCTAAAATTTCCAGATTGTTACTAAACTGAATATTCCGATGCAGTTCAAGCGCATATACAACGAGAAAACTAAGGAAAGTCGAAAACTAGTTTAATACGAAAATCTTTTAACAATAACCGCTCCTCCAAGGCGCGTTATTGGCGACACAAAAAGTTACATACTTCTTTACATTGATTCAGCTCTTGCTTTAATATCTAACAATAAGGAAAAGGTTCACTAATGCTAAAAATTTTAAGATTTAGCTTCTTCATACCACGTTCTTTCCTAAACTGTCCTTGTTTCCATTCTTACTGATTGAGTTTTGCTATTATTAACCATATAAATCATGTTTAAGTTGACAAATAAGGCTTATTCTTACTTTTTGTATAGATTGTGTCCTGACTATTCGAGTTACTAACGGCACCTTTGGTATTTCGTTTTTCACATGCCGTAATACTTGAGTATCAGCAATACCAATATCGGGACTCTGTTTTAAATATAACAAGAAAATTTTTTTCCCTTAGGTCTTTCTAGAATCTTTGATCACATTTAAATAAAATCGCAAACGAATTCACACGGACCACAATTCTACTTTAATAGACTAGCCACTAGCAGATGTTATATTTTTGTGGGAATAACTCAAGAATTCTAGTTTCAAATAAAGATAATCGTTACCAGAGACCGAAACGGGTCAGGTCGGATCGAGTCCGGTCGGGTCGGATCAGCTCGGATTCGGGACACATTTGGTTGACCCGTTTCGGTTAAAACTCAGGTCAGTATAAGAAAAACTGCCTGAATTACCCAAACTTTTCCACTCATAAAAGGAAAAAATTACAGAAATCGTAAGGAATCTGACCATTCCTTTGAAAAAATTTCAAGACAATCTGATTAAGATAACATTTCTATAGGAAAGAAGTGTTCCTTTCCGAATGTGTACGAAAACATTTTCATGTTTCGGCTATGCCCAGGTGTCAAAAAAAAATCTAGTACCGCCCGATTCATCTAGATTACTAGATTTTTACTCGATTGCAACTATTGAGTGACGACAGTGAAAATCTAGTAATCGGGCGACTGCTGCATTTCATCTAGTTGCAACTATCGATCTATCGCTCGATAATCGATCGATTTAACTATTGCTAGTTGCACATGCAGACTCATCTAGTTAAAAGTCCCTATTCCAACTAGTAATCCAGATGGCAACTAGTCATGTATCGCCCGATTACAGACGAAATGTATCTACATTTTCCCCATACGCGATGTTTGCTTGGGTACTTCGGATCACAGCGGAAAAATTTTCGTGTCCGTTCGATCGGGTCAACATATAAGATATTGATTCGGGTCGAGTCGGGTTCGGGTCACGTTTTGTTGACCCGTTTCGATCTCTGATCGTTGCAACACCGAGCAAAAATCAACTTCATATCTTTTCAAAATTACAAACATCTCGTTGTACAAAAATTAATTTCTCTAATGTTGTTATCGTTTTCTAGACTGTCAATAAAATACAAAGTAAGAACAACTTACCGATGAGAATTCAATACCACTTTCCTCATCATCCTCCGAACTTGCATGGTTCTATGATAAAATCAAAATTATTTCCTTTATCGTTAAGCAACAGCAAACAAAAGCCATTTACACCAACGGTTTTTGTTCGGTGTTCTCTCGGTATACGAGTAACTATTGATTTTGATAATATTTCATTCTTTTCAGGAGTTGATGTTGGATTAATGACAACATCATCACTATTCTACAAGAAATATGTGAAATAACAAGTAACATTGATCATAAATTCCAGGGCTCTTGGCCGAAAGAACTTGATTCAGAGAAATTCATTAACAACTGAATAACCCAACATCAGAAGACCAACAAAGATCGAATTGACATTGCTCTGCTCAACGAATCAAACATAAACTCTATATACTCGTCAAAAGCATCAGTGCTCGATTCGGTTCTGTAAGACAAAATCATCAAAACATTTCCTGTTTTAGGAATGGTGAGAGCACTAAACATCGTTTCAAATTTTGCATTTTCAAAAGCAAAAAGACAAGTAGACAGAACATCATTTAGTATATACAGTAGACAACCACCTTCCCTTTTTTCCGTATCTAATCGATCGCTAGTATAACTGGAACTATTTATATCGTCATCTTTTATTTGTTTTATCTAGCCATGATTCAACGATCGCAACAGCAACAGGATTTTCCATTGTTACCAATATCTTTAATTGATCTATCATTTTCAGTGACCATCAGTGTTCACCATTTTGTTTTTGAAAATGTTTGAAAGTGTCCCAATTACAACAAGGAGAGAGAAAACCTAATGACGCAGTTCTCTAGCAGGATTGCAGATGTTAAATCGGATCTTGAATCACTTCTGTTACGAGTCCTGTTTGACAAAATGACAGTTGGAATTATTGTCGAGTTAGTCGTAAACTCTATTGCTGATGCAGGAAGATTCTCAACTTCTGTCTGATTCACTCGCTTGCACATCTGCAGCACCAACACACCACACAACTCACATTTTATGCCTACTTATATACTTATTCATAATATTTCTTCTTTCTTTTCTCGCTTCTTCTCTCGTTTTTCCTCTTGTACTACTTAGTATGGGT